ATATATATATATATATGTGTGTGTGTGTGTGTGTGTGTGTGTGTGTGTGTGTGTGTGTGTGTGTATATATATATATATATATATATATATATCTTTTGTAAAAAAAAATAAACAACAACAAAGATAATAATATGTGCTTGTTTTTTCACAATAAGCAATTTAAACATAAAAATATTATAGGAAATACTGTGAAATATTCCTGAATCTGTTGTGAAATATTTGAAAAAGGTCTAACAATTTTGACTTCAACTGTGTGTATAAATAGTTTTTAGTTAGTATTGCACACTCCTACCGTATGCATCCTCTTATATAATGCTAGTACTGAAGTAGCTTTATTTTGCTCTGCAATGCATTTTATTTTTATGGCCAGGCATTAAAAGCTGAAGTTTAAAGTTGAAGCCTTTTCTCTTTTGTTCCGCTTGTGATCTCGCCTCTTGACTTGCAGTGGTTTGTGCTCTTGCGTGATGTTTCCCAAGAGTGAAGCGACATGCTCTGCTTGATTGAGAGTCCATCTGCAGAGTCCAGATTATACGGCGAGTTATTTTAATCTCCAGAGATCAGGAGTCCTGCTGTTTAATCCCGTCTGAAGCGCTCAGTGCTCTTATCAAAGAGAGTTTGGGGGAATTATGTGCAGCTGTGTTCATTCATCTGACCAATAAACACAAGCGCAGAGTTCACTCAACACAAGAGCACCAATGCATTCAGTTCATCACTCATCATTCAGCAGCATTGGGTTTCACACAATTCATTTAAGCTGTCCCAACACAAATTGATTAAGTTAACAAATGTAAGTGGATTGAACATAAAACTATTAAGTTGTTTGGGAAAAAAGTCGCAAGAATTGTGTTATTTCAGCTTATTTTAGTGAAGTAGTTGAAATAAGCAGCAAAAATAAGTGTGATTTTAAGGTCTCTGACTCGTATACTGATGTTGTTCGGAAATGAGGAGTTAATAGGAGTGTTTGGGACGTGCTGCTGCTAACATGAGCTCTCCTTCAGCTGTGATTTGATGATCGTTGTTCTTCAGAAGGGGGATTTCAGACATCCTCCCGCCCGCACGTGACTCATTTAGGAGGGTCCATTCATAATGCTTTTATGTGCATGATTATGAAAGTTCTGCTGATCTGAGGTCAAGCGTGTGGTTTCACTTATCATGATTATGTCTGTGGTTCACACATGAACAACTGATTCCAGATCAGTGTGCATGTACGTTCATGAAATCCAGCTGATATGAGTACAGTAAACGCACAAGAATGACACGCCTCAGGGGTTAAAGGGACAGAAATATTTACTATTTTACTCACTTTCAAGTGGTTATAAACCTTTATGAGTTTCTTTTTTCTGTTGAAAACAATGGAGATCATTTGTAGAATGCTGGAAAACTGTAACCATTGACTTTCATAGTATTTATTTTTCCTACCAGCTTTCTTAATTGTATAAAGCACTTTTAAATGGCTTTTTAAAAACAAATGTTCTGGTTTACTGATCTTCATGGTAAGAAACACAAATGTTCTCTTGTTTAGTAATCCGTGTGGAAAGAAATACAAATGTTCTCTGGTTTAGTAACCCGCATGGTAAGAAACACAAATGTTCTCTGGTTTAGTGATTCACATGGAAAGAAACAGAAATGTTCCCTGGTTTAGTGATCCACATGGAAAGAAACACAAATGTTCTCTGGTTTAGTAACCCGCATGGTAAGAAACACAAATGTTCTCTGGTTTAGTGATCCGCAAGGAAAGAAATACAAATGTTCTCTGGTTTAATGATCCAGATGGAAAGAAACAAAAATGTTCTCTGGTTTAGTTATCCACATGGAAAGAAACAGAAATGTTCTCTGGTTTAGTTATCCACATGGAAAGAAGCACAAATGTGCTCTGGTTTAGTGATCCGCATGGAAAGAAACAGAAATGTTCCCTGGTTTAGTGATCTGCATGGAAAGAAACAGAAATGTTCTCTGGTTTAGTGATCTGCATGGAAAGAAACAGAAATGTTCTCTGGTTTAGTGATCTGCATGGAAAGAAACAGAAATGTTCTCTGGTTTAGTTATCCACATGGAAAGGTCCTAATGCATAATTCTCCATCTAATATCATTATCTCACTTCTTTAAAATCACTTTTTGTGTGTATATTCAACAGAAGAAAATCTCATAACAGTTTGAAACGAGTAAATGATGACAGAATTTTTGTTTTCGAGTGGACTTCACTCGATCACTTTAGGAAGTAATCAAATTTTTGAATAAAGTGTTGTTAAAAATCCAAACAGCAACATGTGCCGTAACATAAATTGTTACCTCACCCCCTGTGGTCGGCAAACGTATATTTTAGCACATTTCTATGATCACCGGATAAAAGGAGCTTCAAATACTATAATTTTGATCATACATATAAGACAAACACAGATCTGAAAACTGCCTATGTTTATCTGTATAAATTCATAATTACAACAAAACAATATGTTGTTGTAAAATTAGTAACATCATCATGACTGACAAATGCGTTGGGGAAAAAAGCGCTGAATATCTGCAAATATTTGCTTCACAAACATGAGAGAAATAAAGCGTAAAGTCTGAATTGTGCACTTTTAGATGAGAGAAATGTTCTCTGGCTTAGTAATCCAAATAGAAACAAAATGCAGAATTCTCCATCTTCGCTTATTATCGCATTTCTGTAAAATATCTTCTTTTGTGTTCAACAGAATCTCACAAAGGTTTGAAATAGGTAAAGAGTGAGTAAATGACCACAGCATTTTCAGTTTTGAGCGAACTACCCCTTTAAGAATGAATCGAACTGCTGAATGAAGTGATTTTGAATATCCAAGCCGCAAATAAAATATATATTATGTGCCATAACATACATTATTAATTAACACATTGGGGTAGCCTATTACTGATTTAGCATCAGAGAATTTCCAGAGATGTTGTGACAATGAATCGCAGAGAACAGCTGCTCTGTTCGTTGCTTCTGAATGGTCTCTTCTTGAGCAATGTGCTCTCTCAGATGGACACTGAGACCTATAGAGAGCACAACACAAATGTCCACTGTTGAACTCATCAAGGCTTTCATAGTTGCTCTATTGTATCCGAGCATGTTTGCTCGAATCGTTTTGAATCGATTCCTCAAAACGATTCGTTTAAATCACTCTGGAAAACAGTTGGAAGTTGTAAAGAACCACTGTGCTGGAATGTAGCAATACTGGGATTCATTCATGCTAATTTATTACTGATAATAAGAATGTGTAACTAACTAATGTCTATATCTTGAAATGATTCAATTAAAATGTTTCAGAAATCTTTTTCAATTTGCTCAGAGTTTTGATTGTGGCTTGTAAAGTGGGGAGGTGGGACAATAACAACACTGCTATTGTAATTATTAATGATTTATTAAATATTTTAATAATTAGTTGAATTTATTTAGTCTTTTCTAAGGATTATTGGTTGCCAGAACACTTTTGGGAACTCTTTCTGGTTCCCACACCATCCCAGAGTTCTGCTAGTTATCTATAGAGAACTTAATATAGTCTACATTAATAAAAAGTATTCTCTAGGTAATGAGAACGCTCTTGGAACCTAATTGCAACGTTCTGGAAAGGTTAGTTTTTGGTTCCCTAAGAAGAATCTTCAGTGAATGTTTTAATTTGATTGGCAGAAAATGTCATATGGGAATCAAACAATCTAAAAATATATCTGTTTATTAACAGTTTCTGTATTTTGTGATTCACTTAATTGTGTTTCTGCGTTGGACGTGAATTTGATTAGAACTACAAACGTGGGTAAAAACTGTAAACAAACTACAAACATGGCGGACACACTAGACAAACCGTTAAGTGGTAAAATTGTTTGAACGACTAATTCATTCATAGCTAGCCAACTGGAAAATATAATCACGCTTTTTCAATTTACAGTTCATCTGCAACAACAATGTGAACTTATAAAGACGTGTTTGGACATTAACTTTTTAAAAAGGCTAATAATTAGGCTATGGGAAGACCTGAGGAGATTTCTCTGAAAGACTTGCGAGTGGTAGATTAACTCTCTGCTGCTGAATCTTCAATAAGGTAAGACTGAAACTAACATCTAAATATTTATTTTAATTTCATAGGACCTTTAAATTCGATGGAAGTGTGGATGATGTGTCAGATGATTGACAAGGCGTGTAACTAAGCAACATAACGGTCCCGTTAATGAGGTAGTAGCATGCCCCAAAGCTTTCATAGTCAAAACTGTGCACTTTTTCGTAACATAACACTTAATAATACTTTTTTGACGAAGTAGGTGATTTGGGGCTCAGCACATCCCTTTAACCGTTCAAGCGAACCGACTCTCTAAACGACTCGGACAGGCGCCAGTGGCCAGCGTCAGCTCCAGCGGCGTTCATTCACTCGGGACTGGGAGGAGTGTGTGTGCGTTATGTGTGTGTGGCTGGATGGAGCTGGAGTGGGCTGGGTTCTGCCCGTCAGCCATGTTGGAATGAGAGGGAATGAAAAGCTGGAATGAGGGAAAATCGACAGGAAAGGACAGGAAAAGCGGCTTCAGGAATATCACAACGCGCGACGGGCGGATCACTCGATAAACCAGTGAGTAGAGCTCATTTCTGCCTTCGCACGACCGTTAGAAGGGGAAAACTGTCAATGTGAACAGCAAATATGGGGATTCCGGTGCTGAATCAACCCTGCCATGCGTTCAGGAGGAATCTGATGGGTTTGAATCCGATATGCTCGGTAATCGTGACGCGCGTTCACGCTTCCTATTCATTGGATCAAACCAAGCTTTTATATCGACTTTCTGCTGTTTATCTTGACGTCAGATTCAAAAGTTTATGCCACAATACTCGACTGTAAACCAATTGTCGTGGGCTGTACACAAAGTTTGTGTCTGTCAACTGTTCGACAGCAGGACTTGATGACAGTTTGTGTTATTGTACAGTGTTTTAGCCAGTGAAAGTATACAAAAACAAACACAGCATACAAATGAAATAGCTTAAGCAATAGTGAAATACAAAGTTTAAGCAGTCAGTTTTTATGACATATAATCAGATATACTTAGTTTGAGTAACACTGAAGAGAGAATGGCTTGAGTTTTATTAAATAGACAAAATATGTACCATAATTTATGAGTATCTGCCACAGTAATACAGGGATTTTAGTAGATGTGCCTTATTTTTATTAAACTGACAACATATTTACCATGCTTTTTGGGCTTATTCAACAAAAGGATATATTTTTATAGTTTTCAAAATTGTTTAGTTGTTTTTATACCCAAGTTATTTGCATTATACTTGTAATATGTGAGCATATTTACTGTACAAAACTTATCAGCGAACTCTGAGGACTAAAATATGAAATAAATGAATAAAACAATCGTTCATTAATTGTAATCGAGTTAAAATGTTCCATTAATTGAGATTTAGATTTTAGCCCAAATCGTCCAGCCCCACTTTACCCTAATTACCCTTGTTAAGCCTTTTCAATATCACTTTAAGCTGAATACTAGTATCCTGAAGAATATCCAGTCAAATATTATCAACTAAGATCATGGGCGAAAAGAAATCGGTTATTAAAAATGAGTTATTAAAACTATTATGTTTGGGAATGTGCTGAAAAAAATCTTCCATCCGTTAAACAGAAATTGAGGAATAAAAATATACAGTAGGGCGAATAATTCATACTTCAACTGTATGTCTAGCGTATAATACATTTTTAAAATATACAGTATGATGTACAGTACCACAGATCAGTTAGTCGTCATCAAGGTGCGATTTACAGGGGGGTTTGCGTGGGTCAGACCCCCCTAGTTAACGCTTGACCCCCTAAAGGACGTCAACACAACATGTATGACAGTGATTTGCCTTTTAATAGTTAAGAAATAGTTTGCTCTAATCTGCATCTTAAGTAATATTAATAATTAAAATAATAAATAGCTTAACTATACATTTGACCACCCCTATAATGGTCCATACACTCTAAAAAATGTTGAGTCATTTGTTTAACGCAATAGTTGAGTTAAACATATTTGGTGCTTTGTTGGGTTATTTTTAACATTTATTAGGTTATTTATTAATAACTCAACCAGTGGGGTTAGATATTTGATGCTTTGTTGGGTTATTTTTAACCTGTATTAGGTTATTTACTAATTACCCAACCAGTCTGGCTAAATATTTGGTGCTTTGTTGGGTTATTTTTAACCTGTATTAGGTTATTTACTGATAACTCAACCAGTCTGGTTAAATATTTGGTGCTTTGTTGGGTTATTTTTAACCAGTATTAGGTTATTTACTGATAACTCAACCTGTGGGGTTAGATATTTAAGGCTTTGTTAGGTTATGTTTACCTTTATTAGGTTATTTACTGATAACGCAACCAGTCTTGCTTAATATTTGGTGCTTTGTTGGGTTATTTTTAACTTGTATTAGGTTATTTATTAATAACATAACCAGTTGGGTTAAATATTTGGTGCTTTGTTGGGTTATTTTTAACTTGTATTAGGTTATTTATTAATAACATAACCAGTTGGGTTAAAACGTTGGTGCTTTGTTGCGTTATTTTTAACCTGTATTAGGTTATATACTGATAACTCAACCAGTTGGGTTAAAATTTTGGTGCTTTGTTGGGTTATTTTTATACCTGTATTAGGTTATTTATTTATTAACTCAAGCAGTTGGGTTAAATATTTGAATTTCAACAGTGAACTGATTTAACTGGCACAGAACAGCTGTGTTATTATGTGTGGTTTATGTTGTTTTTGCATTATAAAGTTTATTTAAGCTCTAACACAATAATATAATTTTTTTATCAAATTAATTTGGAGGAAATGATGCACATATTTGGGATATTTAACCATCATTCTTGCTTTTAGGACCCATCAGAGACATTTATTTTTTTAAACAGTCATTATTATAAAATGAACAGTAGTACTAGTAGCAATAGTAATACCAGAATAGAAAAAAATAACAACATTTAATCAAAATCAACCCAATGCATTGAGTTAAAATACCCCATAGTTGGGAAGGTGCTATAATAATCTATAGTTGGGTTATATGTTGGGGTATTTTTAACCCAACAATTTTAACAGAGTACCATTGTGAATGCATGTTTGCCCCAAAATCTAGAGCACCAACAGACAGCGTGAGTGTTCACAAAACACTTGTTTTCACTTGTGTTTCTTGTGAAATATGCATTTGCATTGTAGATGTCTGTAAAACTACATGCATAGTTTGTATTTTATTATACGCTTGCATATGGAAGTTAAACAATAAAATAAAAAACATGTGCAGTCATTCACGGTCATCCTTTAATATGTTTATTTAACATCACAAATGTCATTGAGAACCACTCAATATCCCTCAGAGCACTGAAAACACAACAAGTGTGAGTAATAAATTAGATGTAATTGAATTAAATATATTTGGTTCTATATTAATCAAAACACATAAGCCCCCCCCTCTTACACCCCCCGGTCATCAATGTATAATTCGTACCCTGGTCGTCATGCAGGATGTGATGAGAGAGCAGGCGCAGCTCTTGGTAGTAGTGCTGGAGGAGGATCTGTGTTATTTGCTGATGTGTGTGTGAGTGCTGTTGGGGTGTTTTGAGTGTCCTGGGGCTCTGGAGATGACAGTGCGCAGGGCTGGGGTATTTATAGAGCCGCCGCTGAAGCCGCCTGCCTCCAGTCAAGTAATGCCTGCTTATTTGCCAGACTGAGATCAGAACGCTTGGCAGAATTACGGCTCACACCACTCCTCATTATCTTGTGTTGGCGACCGCCGCCGCATTGTCATTTACCCGTGTGAATCGAGCTGGAGTTGAGCTGCTGTTTTCAGACTTGCAGGAGTTAATATTCAGACCTGACGGACATCTAAGAGATCGCTGTGGTGGTCCTGATGGCTCAGTGTTTGGGTTATTAGTTATTGTGGAATGCTGAGAGGTGTGTGTGTGTGTGTGTGTGTGTGTGTGTGTGTTTGTGTGTGTGTGTGTGTGTGTGTGTGTGTGTGTGTGTGTGTGTGTGTGTGTGTGTGTGTGTGTGTGTGTGTGTGTGTGTGTGTGTGTGTGTGTGTGTGATCCTGTTGTTTTAGCTGCGCAGGAAGAGAGACTGGGATTTCAGCAGCAATGACAGGAAGCTCAAGTGTGTGTGCATATATGTGTGTATGTATGTGTGTGTGGATATACATTTTTTGTATGTTTGTGTGTTTGTATGTATATGTGTGTGTGTATATATGTGCATGCTAGCGTGTTTGTGTATACGTCTATGTATGTATGTAGGTATGTATGTATGTATGTATGTGTGTATGTTATGTTACGTGTGTGTGTGTGTGTATGTGTGAAGGCTTGTATGTTTATGTGTGTGTTGTATGCATAAGTAAATATGTGGGAGTTTTTGTGTGTATGTGGGTGTGTGTATATGTGTGTGTGTGTGTGTATACGTGTTTGTGTGTTTGTGTATGCTTTCTTAATGTGTGTGTGTGGGTGTGTATGTGTATGTTTTCTTAATGTTTGTGTCTGTTTGATGTGTGTTTTTGTATGTATATATGTCTATGTGTGTGTGTGTGTGTGTGTGTGTGTGTGTGTGTGTGTGTGTATGTATTTGTGACATATCAGGACACAAATCTGTATGATGACATGGGTATGACACAGGTGTTACAAAAAGGAGGTGAAATATGAGGACATTGGTGACGTTCTCGTTTCTCAAAATGCTTATTAATCCTACAGGATGAGTTTAATCAGAGAGTAAAGCTGCACACAGTCTCCTGTGATGGTTGGGTTTAGGGGTGGGATGGGGGGAGGGCAATACTATATACGGTTTGGACAGTATAAAATGAATGGAAATCTATGTAATGTCCCCACTTTTCACAAAAACAAACGTGTGTTTTCTTAATGTGTGTGTATGTGTTTGATGTGTGCGTATTTGTTTGTGTATGTGGCATGTGTGTGCGTGTGCGTGTGTGTATATTTGTTAAAGTGTGTGTGTGTGTGTGTGTTAATGTATGTGTGTGTGTGTTTTTGTTTAATGTGTTTGTTTGTGTGAGTGTGTGTTTAATATCTGTGTGTGTGTATGTTTAATGTGTTTGTTTGTTTTTGTGTGTGTGTGTTTGTTTGTTTGTGTGTGAGTGTGTGTTTAATATATGTGTGTGTGTATGTTTAATGTGTGTGTTTGTTTGTGTGTGTGTGTGTGTGTGTGTGTAATATGTTTGTGTGTGTGTGTGTGTGTAATATGTTTGTGTGTGTGTTTGTGTGTGTGTGTGTGTGTGTGTTTGTTAATGTATGCATATATGAGTGTGTGCGTGTGTGTGTTTGTTAATGTATGCGTATATATGTGTGTGTGTGTGTGTTTGTTGATGTATGCGTGTGTGTGTGTGTTTGTTTTTGTGTGTGTGTGTGTTTGTTTGTGTGTTTGTTTGTGTGTGTGTGTTAATGTATGCGTATATATATATATGTGTGTGTGAGTGTGTGTTTGTTTGTGTGTGTGTTAATGTATGCGTATATATATATGTGTGTGTGTGTGTGTGTGTGAGTGTGTGTGTGTGTGTGTGTGTGTGTGTTTGTTTCTGTGTGTGTGTGTGTGTGTGTTTGTTTGTGTGTGT